GATTGGTCAAGGAAACCTTCATAGGAAGTAGAGTTTAAGGCAAATATTGAAGAATAGGCAGGAATTACAAAAATGAATGTGGTCAAGGATATCATGGTGGATAGTAAAAATAATTTTTCACAAAAATGTGAGTAGACCCCATTGATTAGAGGGAAAGGTTTATTACAGGTAGTGTTGGGAGATAAAACTGGAAACTATAAATTGACCAGATTGCGATGTGTTCTGAATAGCTAGTGAAGGACTGTCCCAATAGAAAGGTAATGATAATCTCTTGAAGGATTAGAGAAGGGAAAGATGGCATTGTACATTAGATAATTTGGTAACGTGCAAGAATTGGAGCTGGAAAATCTGTTGGCTAAGAATTCTGTAAGAAGACTGTCAAATTGCTTGGTTATGAGATAAAAAATTTGAAAATTGAGGGTTTTATATCATTTGGTTGGTTTTGTAAAGAGATTAGTTGAACAGGGCATATAGTTCCTCTAACAATGAGAGAAAATGAAATCATCTCTGACTGTCCATCCTCATGTGGAGAACCTGTAGGGAAGTAGACTTCCTTTTGTTTATGTAAGTCTATATAACTCCTTATAAGCATAAATACCTTTCCTTAACAGGTGTGATTGTGCAAGCTTGGGAGCAGGAGAAGGAGAGAGCTAAAGTACTACTTTGCAAAATAGAGAGGTTTTTGAAGTTCTAGGAATTTAACAATCCTGAAATGAATGAGTGAGAAGCAGAGAGGGAGGGAAGAAAGGGGAAAGCTGTTCACTAGTAGAAAGAAGGGCCAATAAGAACCCTTTATTGGTGGGCTCTTCCAAGAATATACAAGAATATGTGATTTTACATTGTTCTCTACTTAATTAATGCATTAGGCTCTAAAATGACCAACCAACCAACCAACAAATGAACCCACCCCAGCCATTTCCCTATGAGAGTTTGGAACTAATTTGGAAACAGACATAGGAGTCAGACAGATCATCAAAATATTAGCTATATCAATGGCAAAACTGAACTAAGAAATATTACTGGAAGTCACAGTTGGGATTTCTGCTGCTTCTCTCCAAGTCTAGAACTCAGAAAGACACTCCCTTTACTACCTCAAAACAGTCTGCAAAGCAGATACTTATCTGACTAAGTACAGAGGGAACCACAACCACAACCACACCTAAATTCGACACTAGTAGTAGGGAAAGAGAGACTGATTTCCAGATCTAGCTCTGGAAGGCAAGACAGGATTCTGACCTCATGTGTGCTTAGCACAAGGAATCCAGAACAGAATGCACACACTGTGGACAGGGAGATCCAAAAGAGAATGAGGAAGAAACAGTCTCAAAGGATGAATTCCAACCTATGTATTCCCCAAGTTCTGTGTTAACAGTAATTAACTCATAATAATAGAAATTCTGTTGCCTTCAGAAGATTACATAAGGGTAACTCAGCTTTGCAATTCAGAAATAAGTTCTTTTCATTTTTTAAAATGAAGATATTACAGATATCATTCCTGCCAGGAAATCAAAAGTGAAGTCATAAGCCACATGCCTGCCTCCATAACAATAATCCAAATCCTCTTCTCATAAAGAAAGAAAATGGCTGTTACAGTCTTATCGTGCAACTGACTCATGATTTTAAAGCCCCGTGACAGGAAACCTCTGTGTCAGGTAATCAGAAACCTAACTCTCCCTGGAGAATTCAGTGTTATTTACCCAAATTCCCAGAGAAGAGAAGAATCTGGGATGGAATGTGAGAAAGAAAAAAAGAACATAAAATTAATATCGCATTTTCTTAACTTGGCATATTGATTTCTCTGTGAGAATGTAAGAAGCCATTAAATGTACATCACTAAGGGAAATCTTAAATTACAGTTAATCTATATTACAAAATTATACTCAATATTTAACAAGAATAAGATAATTCTATATGAACTGCTGTATACTAGGTTTTCTAACCTCATGCATGCACATACCAATTTCAGGATTATTGCCATGCTTATGTACCCATTTTGTTATTTTTTAATGTATCTTTAAATCAACTCACTTGGAAAAAATTTGGCATCATTTTAACAGTAGTATCTGTGAAATCGTGAGTTTGATGTGTCGTGTAACAACTAAATTTTTTCAAAGCTCCTTGGTCCAGTAATAGACAAGGAAATTAGAGCCCTAAGTGAGGTTATTTCCCTAAGCACAATTTCATTTAGACTGACTGAGTACAGACCTTTTTGATTTTTGACCAGCCAGCCTCTGCCCCAAATGCCTACCAGAGGTTGAGTTGATGGAGACAGTGGCTCTTACAGCTGGGGCTGCCAACTAGGAACCTGGAAGAGGCTGACTAGTTATGGATGCTGATGGCTCTGAGACACCAGAGCAGTTCCTCACTTTCCTCTTTACAAAGAGTATTAGAAATTCAGCAAAGGAGGAGAGGGTGTGAAGAAAAGGGAACCTTCCTACATTGTTGGTGGGAATGTAGTTTGGTGCAGCCATTACAGAAAACAGTATGAGGATCCCTCAAAAGAACTAAAAATAGACTGACCATATGATCCAGCAATCCCACTCCTGGGTATATATCCAGAGGGAATTCTAACTTGGAAAGATACATGCACTCCAATATTCATAGTAGCACTATTTGCAATAGCTAAGACTTGGAAACAATCTAAATGTCCATTGACAAATGACTGGATAAAGAAGTTGTGGTATATTTATACAATGGAATGCTACTCTGCCATAAAAAAGAATAAAAGAATGCCATTTGCAGTAACATGGATGGACCTGGAGATCATAATTCTAAGTGAAGTAAGCCAGGAAAAGAAAGAAAAATACCATATGATAGCACTCATACATAGAATCAAAAAAAAAAGGCACAAATGAACTTATATACAAAACAGAAATAAGCTTGCAGACGTAGTAAACAAGCTCATTGTTACCAGAGGGGAAAAGGGGTGAGAAGGGATAAGTTGGGAGTTCAAGATTCACAGATACTAACTACTATATATAAAATATATAAGTGACAAGTTTATACTGTATATATAACACAGGGAACTATATCCAATATTTTGTAGTAACCTATAATAAAAAAGAATATGAAAACAACTGTGTATATGTATGACTGAAACATTATGATGTACACCAGAAATTGACAAAACATTATAAACTGTCTATACTTCAATTTAAAAAATGGCAAAAAAGGAAATTCAGCAAGGGAGATAGATGAAAAATAAGTTAAGGGCATACAATTATCTTCAATAACAAAGAGGTCCCTTTTTAGGCCCCACAAAGCAACACTCCTTTCTATGCTGCCAGAAACAAGTAAAGGGACACTGTCATAAATATTTGTCTATTTTCATGGGGCTGCATATGCCCAGTATTTCAAGGGAGCTTTTCCTAACTCCTCTGGTAAAGATGAAGGATCTCTCTTCCAACCTTCCAACCAAGAGTTTCCTGATTATATTGAAGGAGTAATGGCATCTGCTCAAAATAACCTATATATCCCCCAAACATTAGAGAGGATCTTTCTTCAACATTTCAAAGACTTTAAACAAATTTTTCTTTAGGCATTGTGATATGTTGTTATTTGGGGTTAAAATGATAATGATTCACTAATTCAGTCAGTCCATCTGTCAAAAACAATTGCCTGAGCACCACCTGTATGGGATGAGAGCACATGTGGTTTGCTTTAAGCCCCCAAGCTGGAGTTCAGGGAGAAGTAGGGGGCAGTAGGAAGGGAGGGCAGGGCCACGCAGGGTGTATTTGTATGCCCAGTCCCCTACCACCTCTAGGTAATTGCAGTTTCCCTGAAGTGGCCAGTGTAACAGCTTCATCCTGTATCTTGCTCAATGTATTAATTCTATGAATGTATAATTGTCCCATAATATTCCTGAGAGAATGGAAGGAGGGTGTGGGATGCTGCCTAACAGGGCAGAGTCTAGACACCTGAGATAAAATCTTTACCTTGATAAAAATCTCTTGCTTATTTAGAATGCAACATAGGTATCCTCTTACTTCAACTCTTAATTTAAAGATACTTTCTACTATTCTGTTTTTAGTTCTCTTTTGGGTTCTGATGAGCCCTGGCTCCTTTTGCTTTAGGACTAGACATTCTTGATTCATCACAACCCCTAATCTGACCCCCTTTCTCCACTTTAATAAAATCTTATATTATTTGCCTTATAAAACAATATTACCTTATTGTGAAGTGATTACATCTATGACTCTGGAGTAAGACTATTCAGTTCAAACACTGACTTTGCCATTTACTAGCTATGTGATCATGGCAAGTTAGTGAAACTGTGTGCTTCAGTTTCCCCATGCATGAAATGAAGATAATATTTCTACTTACATTATAGAGTCCCAGTGAGGATTAAGTGAGGGAATCTCTGCCCTGGTAAGTACTGAATAAATATTAACTATTAGTATTATTCACCCTTCCTTAGTAATAATCAACACACACCAGACTTTTTTTTGATATACTTGTATAAAAACAAATTCATTCTTTACTGGACAGGATTTTTAAAACATTTATTCTAATAATCAAATCTGCCTTAGTTTATCAGTCTTTAAAATTTTTAATTTAGGTTTCAAAGTCATCTTACCTAATTGGGTATTATTTACATTTAGCAATCTTACATTCTCTTCTATTATTTATACCATTAGTAAATAATCTAAATAATAATTAAATCACTGTGTAAAACTGAATAATGAAATTAGCATTACTGTTTCTATTAATTTCATTATATGATTGTATTTATTTTCACATTGTACTCTTCAGAAAATACAAAGTTTATGTCTGTACAGAGGAAATTAGTCAGAATTAGAAAGTTTATAAAACATGTTCCCAAAAGGAATACAATGTATTTTATAAAAAGGTTTGGATTTTTCTATGACTCAGAGCATTTTCATAATAACATACAATAAAATGACTGTTATCTGAAGTCAAATATTTTCCCACAAACGTAACATTGACCTTTGTACAGTCAATGTCCCATAATTTGCCAACATTGATAACGTTCAGGAATATATATATAAGGAGAGATTAAAGGTGGAAGAAAAGCCTCTTGAACCAACCAACACTGGAGCCAGGAACAACTCAAGTGAAGTAATGGGCTTGTTCAAAAGTTTTGTCTTCCTCTTAGGCCTGTGCCTGCTGCAGGGGTCCAATACTTCCTTCATTCAGCTGAATGACAATGGCTATGAAGGCATTATCATTGCTATAGACCCTGCTGTGCCCGAAGATGAAACACTAATTGAGAAGATAAAGGTAAGAAAGAAATGGAATTTCTTCTGTTTGAATTGTAGAGGGAAAAATGGCAGTTATTAATTATTGTGGAAACTTCTCAGTACTCCAGGAAGCTTAAAAGCAGCATAATTCAGAGAGGATAATGCTGGAATGAGCAGTGGGAATTGAAGGTTCTAGACAGGGTCCTTCCCCGTCTCACTATAAGACCAAAGGCCAAAAAGCACAGGGCTTCCCTAATTCTCAGTTTCTTAATCTGTAAATTAGCAATTGGACTTGTCTGTTCCTAAACAATTTATTGAATGACTGCTAATGGCATGCCAGGATAGAGAGCAGTGAATTTTTAAAATCTCCCGATCTCCTGCAATATATATTCTTCTCAGATGATATAGATACAAACATGTCCATATATATGGTAGTAAGTTGCTATGGACTAAATCAGCAGAGGGGGATAGGCAGTGTTGGTAGGACTGGGGTAGGAGGAGAATGTGGGTTACTGTTTCATGCAGGTAGTCAGGGAAGGTCTCACTGTTAATGTGACATCTGAGCAGAGGCCTGAGATGAGGGCGGGAAGAGCCCATTGAAAACCCAGGGGAGGAAACAGTAGGTGCAGTAGCATGGCGATGACAGCATGCTTGATGTGACCAAGGGAAAAACTGAATGAGCAGGAGGAAGGGTGGGAAGAGCTGAAACCAGAGACGTAGCAGGCCCCAGATCACTGGAAAGATCTGGACTTTTACTCTAAGTGACATCAAAATCCATAGAAGGGGAGAGTTGTCTCTCTCGTGCTTATTCTGGGGGCATTCTGTCAGCAGTGTTGAGGAAACACTGTAGAGGGCTTTCCATTGTCACATCTGGTATAAGCTCTGTTGCAGCATAGAGGTTTAGAAGGACATCGGGTAGGAAGCTGTTATAAGTGACAGGTGCTGGTGGCTAGGAACAGGGATGCTGTGGTAGAGATCATTAACATGGTGTGATTCTGAATGTGTCCTTAGTCTGTGAGGTTATCATAGACAAGTCTGATGGTGGTTTAGATGTGTGGGGTAGGGGAGGGGAGGAGGGAAAAATAAAAGTCAAAGAAGACTTCAAGGGTTTTGGTCTGAACACTTGAAAGTATGAAATTACTGATTGAGAAGGGAAATACTTAAGTGGAGAAAATTTGGCAATTGAAAGATCAGAAGCTAGTTTGGGAATTTTTGACTTTGAAATGCTTATTAAATAATAACATGGGTTGAGATAGGAATGTGAATTCGGTAGGGGGAATATGGGTGGAGATAAAAATTTGGGAGGGAGTCATCAGTGTGTGGATGAGATTGCAAGTCATGAGAATTAAAGAAGTCACTAGGAGGGGCAGATAGAAAAGAGAAAGGCTCCAGGACTGAACCCAGGACTGTGATATTTAAAGTTCCATCCAACTATAACATTCCACATAATAAAGAGACTGGTGTTATGGCTGTGTAGTAGTTTTCCCTCTCACTGACATCAACATTTACTAATTCCTTACATTCAGTTCCCCCACTGCTGTGTCCTTCTGCTCACTGTTTCAATCTTCTGCATCGGTGTTGTTATCCATCAAGCCGATGGGCTTGACCTGAGTGGTGAGCAGGTGATTCAGTGGCTGCTATTTATCATTTGTTCTGTATAATCTTAAGCACGGTGGTGTTCACTTATTGACACCTTTTGAATTCCAGGAAAATATAGATTCCTTTACTGAAGAACACAGGCTTGAAGAGCAGTTAATATTAGCTAATTCTGAATGACGGCTTTTTAGTGTCCAGGAAGAGCTGATCAATATCAAAATTCTCTGAACCTCAGAAATCAGTATTTGGAAAAATTATTTGTAAGGGAAAAATTTAGTTAAAATCATGGTCTACTGAATATACAAGTAAAAGTTTGATTTTTAGTAAATATTTCTCTATTAGAACAATATTTCCTGACATTTTCTGGGTCTTTACAAAGTCGTTGCATTAATATTATCAGGAAAACTTGTGAAATACCTTCATCCACATTGCACAGAAGAGAAAACCTGGATTTAGAGAAGGAAATAATTTTTCCAAGGTCACATTAAATCGTACAATCAGAGCTGATATCCAGCACATGGGTTCTGAGGGCTGACAGGTCTGAGTTTGCATTCTGGCTGATATAAGATGACAAAAATCACTCTTTTTTTGTAATTGATGAACAAACTTGTGGAAATAACCTTACCCTGAGGATACTATCTGACCATATTAAGATTTATGTTATGTTGAATTGACTCATAATTCATAACCTGAGTTTCAATTGTCAACTTTCTTTTTTTTTTGAGGGAGTGTGCCTTTTTTAACATTTTTTATTGATTTATAATCATTTTACAATGTTGTATCAAATTCCAGTGTACAGCACAATTTTTCAGTTATACGTGAACATATATATATTCATTGTCACATTTTTTTCTCCGTGAGCTACCATAAGATCTTGTATATATTTCCCTGTGCTATACAGTATAATCTTGTTTATCTATTCTACAATTTTGAAATCCCAGTCTGTTCCTTCCCACCCCTCGCCCCCTTGGCAACCACAAGTTTCTATTCTATGTCTATGAGTCTATTTCTGTTTTGTATTTATGCTTTATTTTTTTTTTTTAGATTCCACATATCAGTGATCTCATATGGTATTTTTCTTTCTCTTTCTGGCTTACTTCACTTAGAATGACATTCTCCAGGAGCATCCATGTTGCTGCAAATGGCATTATGTTGTCGGTTTTTATGGCTG